ATGTTAAAACCGTGTTGGACGAGAACAATATGGTGATAAGAAACTAAGCTTTTCAGCCGGGATTTTTCTGAGTGCCTTAAGGGTAAACCTCGTTCATCCCTATTATGAAGGTGCCTGTTTAGAGAAAATGTGCCCTTCACCTATGACAAACAGCTGCACCATCACAGGCATTTTACACAAGTGCTGTTGGTGTGCCGAACAGCAACAAACAGATTAGGAAGACAAACCGTGTTCCTGTCTCATATGGGAATCCAAAAGGTTGCAGCTATTTCAGAATTATAGCAGCAGGGAATTCAGTGTTAGGACGGAGCCACAATAACACTGAAAAACTAAGTGCAGATGACAGGACCATGTAAATTGATAATATAGAATAATACAGCCAAAAAATAAACATATATGTGGAAACAACTAAGAGACAGATGGCTGGCAAGCAATTTTCCCTGTGGCATTTGTAAATGTCCACTCAGTGCTTGTTTTGGGGTCGTTTGCTAGATAAACCCCATGTGGCATTCTCAATGGAGTATAGGCAAAGTGGTCTCTACTGGCTTCACCTGACTTTAATTTTAATTTACTGGTAAGATGTATTTATTCAAACAGCAAAATGAACCATTTCCACATAGATTTGATTAAACAATCATAACAGCTAGAAAATAAAATGTCACATAAAATATTTCATAAACTCTAAGTTGGATCTACTTCCATTTTTTTTTTCAGTGTCTTATAAACTGGGAAGGAAATTAGAGTTTTTAAAAAAAAACTCTTGTACACATTGGCTTTCAATATAGATCTGATGATAAAACCTGTGATACAAAGCAAACTTCTCCCTTATTTACATTGATTTTATAAGAAATTATTTGTAAATATACTTTTAAATACCAGGTATGCCTTCAATGACTGAACATCCTAGAGCTTTAAGATGCCAATAACAGACCAGTCCAAGGCAAGTCTATTCAAGATAATTTTTTAGAGGTAACAGAGTGATTGATCATTTCACAAAGATCATACCAGGTCAAAAACCCAAACTGACAATAACATTAAAAGACCAAGTAGAAGGAATAGTTGAATATTTCTAGAAAAAAAGGTGTTATTTTTTAAAAAAAAAAAAAAGTTAACATGCCTTAAATCTTCCATTCCTTCTTCTTTAAATACTGTTACTCAATGACTTTACAGAAGAAACATCTTAACTAGTGTTTCCATAAAAACTAAGATTTACATTTATACCCAAATAAAAAACTAAATTAGGAATGTGCTATTAAGGGTTTTGAGTAGTTTTAATTCAAGAGCAGAAATATCTGCCATGGAGTTATTCCTTCAATTTTCACAGTTATTGAAAAGTGGAATAGCTAAGAAACATAAAGATACTGCTAATGATCATGGCTGGGTGTAATAAATGCAAAATCAGCAATAAGGAAAAAAATTTTCAAAGCAACACAAATCTATTTCCCACTTTCAAACCCTCAAATTGTCTTTTTTAAAATAAATAAATAAATAAATAAAAAAGAACGCATTATTTTACTCACATGAGAATAAAAACATGTACTAGTTGCATGACCTTATTTGCTATTTATATAACGTAAAGGAAATGTCATCAATTAGATGATAAGTGCAAAATGAAATCTGACTAAAAGACAACAGTTGGGGTTTACTTTTGTTACTCTGAAGTAAACTGACTCCTCTTTCAGTGTTATCTCTATGCAAAGCACATTAACAGTACTACTTCTTAAAAGGATGAAGGGAAAATGATCTAACATTATCCTCAAAAAATATATGACAGCAGAGAATTTGGGGTCAGTGAGTTTTTTCCACTGACCTAAACCTAAACACCAAATCTCTCCAGAAAATGAGAAGGTCCTTCAAAAAGTCATATGCAACATGACTTAAAATTGAGCAAAGACTGCATATTTATAATTCCAATTTTACTCTAACCACAACTTAAGATTCAATATAATCACTACTAGATGGAAGGCAAGTGTGGGGAGATGAAGGTGAAACCATATATGCTTTTTCATCAGATAGGGTGAATTCTACTCCTTTACTGTTTGTTTCATCACATCCTGGCCATATTCTTGAGTTGAGCGCAGAAAAAACACTTGTAAAATATTAAATTTTACCATAGGGAAATTGATTTTGCTATAAGAACGTTTCAGGTTACCACTTAATCTCAACCAAACTACATCAAACACTGAAAGTAATTATATACATAGTTTATAAAGTAAACTTGATCACTATACTTAAAAGAAATGATAACTTTGAGAAGTACCACAGCAATAATTTTTAAGCTGAAGCAATATAAAGCCCTCCTACAGTAAATGCTGGATTCTTCAGCTAAAATGCACAGTCTTGATTTAGTTAAGCAAGTCAAGCGTAAGGGCCACCTCCCTTCCAGAGGGCTGCTCTGTATTTCACAAAAGTTCCTGGGGGGGCAGCGGAATCCACAGATGTAGTTTAAACAAAGTTTTAAACTTGAGCCTTTGTAGTCTGAAATGGAGTGGTGGAAATAAACACATTATCATCATCCTACAGTTTCCACTGACTCCCCAGCCCTCTTCCCCCATCACACCCCAGTGAGTTGGAGTAGTTGGATAGAAAGTATTATATCTGAAAGTCACAACTTCCAGGGCACTGTGGAACTGAATTGCCTAAACGTGCCATGCAGACACCAGTTAAGTTTCATGATCCTATTAATATATATTTCATAATTTCCAGTATACATAAAACCCAAGTTTGATATTTTTAAGACTTCATACTCTTAGGAGTATGTAATTGCATATGTAGTTCTGCCACTTAGAAAGTTAAATACATTTTTCAAACTGTAGCAAAAGTATAATTTGTATTTCCAGACCTTCAATATATCATATATAATACCTAGATATCATAAATTGAGCATGCTATCAACTAGATAATGTGTGTAAATCATCACATTAAACTCATCTATGTAGGGAGGGAGAAGTCAGAAATTCTGATATGTAGGGAGGGAGAAGTCAGAAATTCTGATACTCCATTCAGCCTACAGCATGTAAAGAACTTATACAATTATCATCATCGAAACACTAATTTATCTTCACACTTGCGCCATTCTCTCTAGGCTACAGAATCCCAACAATTCTGACGGATGATTAAAGAACACAAAATAAGCACTAAATCTACACCAAAAACTGTACATGTAAATTTAGTTTAGTTTCAGCCTTAACCTTTACAGACTGGTGTCTTCTGACATGTACTTTTCAAAGAACTGGACAGCAACAAACAATAGCATACAAGAGGAATGCTTCAATTTACCACAGTAGTCTATATTACTTAAAATATTATAATAAGTTATTTTTTAAAAGCTGTATCTTCTTGGTTTAAATGCTTACTATTCAAATTGTGCCCAACAGAGCCAGTAACTGCTCGGATTTGTCCCTGAGTTTATTTTGTGAAAAGTCACCCATCTTTGGAAGCAAGTGCTTTTCCTTCCAATTACCCTAGAAATAGCAGGTGCACTATAACTCAAAATTGGATGGAACAGAAGCAGCCCCTCTCACAGACCATTTATTTCTCAGACCATGTAGCATAATTGCTAAAATCTGTACATTGCTTAAAAGTTGCGGAACAGTTTATGCCTCACAGGGGCTTCCTAGCAACTAGTCTCTGATAGACACTATATAAAATGCATTAAGAAGGCTTTGCTGGATGTCTTTGCAGGTACTATCAGGGGATTTCATAACAGACATGTGGATGTGAACCAAAATTCCCTTACTGAAGGTATACATCTAGGAACATGCTTTTAGTCAGAGAGTGGAACACAGAGAACATAGAATATGGATAATTACTACCAGGAGGTTCTGCCTTCACCTCCCTCACTATCAACCACTTTTTGTAAGTTCAGTCACTGCCTTGCCCTGACCCTAGGGATGCATTCACTTTCCATAGCCCAGAGAGGCTGCTGAAAAGCTGTCAAAGTAAATCTGTGCTCACTTTTTGGATAGTTTAATTTCAATGGAGCATGAAACACCCCAGGACGGTTAATAAGTTTAGCCAGGCGTGCTGTTCTCCCTAATATATTTTAATTATGCATCTGTTTTAATTGTAATCAGATTAAGTCACTGGAAAGACACAAATTGGAATTTTCCCTAATGGCTATTAGAGCTTTTCATCAGTTTCTAAACACTAACAACGTTTAAAAAATAGGTAGAGCCACGAGCACAACTGTGACATTTTCCAGAAATCGATGCAGTTTCTTTGACAACACAGTTCAGGTCTCATTAGCCACCCAAACTAACCCAAATGCAGAAGACAATTTCTGTCTCTAGGGGCGTCTTCTTCCCCAATTAGCACAAAAGAATCACTAACGTCTAATGTAAAACTCCCAAACAGAATGAAAGCCCAGGCTTTATAAAGTGCTACTCCATCGATTGGTGAGAGAGGCTCGCGGGGGAGAGGGGGTGCAGGAGAGATCATCAGCATTATCTTAGCTCAAAGTAAAATACACTACACGTCAATAGATAAAGTTGACTCAGAATACGATCCTCTTTCCCTTATTTTGGCAACTGTCAAACGCGTGTTTCAACCTCGGGAAATAAAATCGGGCGTCCCATCAGTAAACGGAAACTTTACAGGGAAGATGTATTAGGGGGCGGGGAACAGCTTCCTTCCAACCCAGACGTAAAATCGCTCAATGTGCTTTTGTTGCACCAAGGAATACCTAAGACATTTTTTTTTAAAATACGTTCATTAAAGTTCCCAAATTGCTGCTATTTCCGCTAAGAAACTTAAACGTCTGCCAACAGCCGAGAGTCAGGGGAGAGAACCTGCTGCAAACTAGGAACCCAAACTCCCTCAGCCCGCCCAGCGCGCTCGCGTCCCGGGTGTTTCTGCTTTAGGTGTTAATGTTTACGCGTCTCCTAAATCAGGTGCTGGACCAGTTCCTCCAGGACGCACTTCCAGCCTTAAAGCGGGAAGCTTCAGAGTCACTGCGGAGTCCCCACGCAGCCCGTCACCCTTCCCACTCAGCCCCTTACCTGTCATCATAGCAGAAATCCGCACTTAGGGTGTTGAGATACAAGGCGAGCCCCAGAGCGCTGCTCACCAACTCTGCAATCATCTCTCCACTGCCTTCCCTCCGGCTCGGCTCCCAGCGCGAGGGCAGCAGCGGCAACAAAAAACAGAAGCATCAATCCCCACCTTCCGCCGCCTTCTCCTCCCAGCTTCACTTTTCCCTGGCTTCCCCACCCTCCTTTCTCTCCCTCCTTCCTCCCTTGGGTCCTCCCAATCCACCGCTCTCCTCCTCCTCAGCCCGTCTCCCCAGCGCCTGTGTCCTCCCGGGGTGCGGGCTCACACCGCGCTCCCCATGCCCGGCGCCCGCGAGGGCGAGCGGCGTTCGGGCTACGCGCCCTCCGGCGGATGCACAGGGCTGGTCCTTCCCGCGGCTCGAGGCCCCCACCCTAACCCATGGCAGTTCGGGGAGCCCTAGGTGAGGAGTGGGACGCGGAGGAGGTGGAAGAGTGCGGGATGGGGTTAGAGGGACCGGACCGACCCGGGTTCTGGGACCAGCTGGAGGAAGAGAGAGAAAGAGGGGCGGATGGGAGGGACAAGGCGAACCGCCTCCCCTCGCCGCCTCCCGAGCGCAAGGATCGGGTGCCGCTTGGGCTGACTCCGGCCGCCACAGCGGCTGCAGCTCATTCACTCTTTATTAGCTCTCTGCCAGTCCCAGCCCCTTCTCCAGTGAAGTGAGAAGCGGTGGTTGGAGACTCCAGAAGCTCCCGCGTGGGGTTCTCGGCGCCCCCGCGCCTGCGTGGCCAACCCTCCTTTCCGAGTTTGACCAGCCCCTTTCTCCACCCAGATCCCCTAAGGCTCCTCCCACACTACCCCCCAGCCCCGACTGCAGGCTCCTCCCACCCACCGCCCGCCTTCCTCTTGTTTCTTTCACCTTCGATTTCACTGTGGAGAGCCAGGGAGACCCGAGGGCGACGGCTGGAACGCAGCCGGGGAGGGGGATCGAGAGGAGACACCAGACCGCGGAGGATGCGGTCGCTCGCCCTGCTGCTGCCCGGCGGCGCCTGGCACGGGCTAGTTCTCAACCCAAGCGCTGCCAGGCGTAAGTCCGTCATAGGGACTGCTAGGGACCGGGAGAGGAAGAACAGGTTTGGCGAGTGCTGCAACCTCGGTTGCCACAAACACACACGCGACCTCTCCCACACGCTCAGGGTGCGTGAGCCAAACTGGGCGGGGATCTTAGAAGGGAAAGATTTCAGCATCGAGCCTACCGTTGTCCCGAATGTCAATGGAAAGACGTGTGGGGAGGGAAATATTCCCGCAATAGATTAAAAAGAAAAGACACCCCCCCCCCCAAAAAAGAGGAAGGACAAGACATGCGGGGGGGCCTTTCGTGGTTTCAGGGGGATTGCCAAGCTGACCCTGAGATCATAGAGAAGAGATGCCTCTACTGCCCAGTACAGCGCTATAACCTAGGAAGGCGGGAAGCTAATTCTTTCCTTTCCGCCCGGATACAGGACTGGATGGATGGCGTCCAACATGATGAAATATGTTGTAGAAGAATAGCCTGTGTAGAACGAGCTCTGGGTACTAAAGTTGAGAGACCGAAAAGGACCGTGGGCTGCCCGCCACACCTCCTCCCGGTTTAGCCCTTTCTGTAAGTGGAGTGGCTGTGATGGACCACGATGAACACTACTGCGGCGCCCCCTGCTGCATGGCAGCCACAATGCATGGAAAAGAAACCTGTAGAGGGCTGACTTCCCCCTCGCATCCCCCCCCCTCCAAAGGCAGCACCTAACCAGCAAGCTCTCCAAAACTGAGGCAAGAAATTGAGCCCCCTGGATATCTGGCAGTGGCCTGAAAAGCAAATACTGTGGTCTGGGAGTCTGCAAAACAAATCTCCGTCTTTTTCTGATTTCACACCGATAAAATGATGAATATTCATTACAACTATTATGCCATGCAGGGTGGGCCCATTTTTGTGCCCTAGGAAAAGCAGAAGTAAACAGACATAAAAGGGAATTGTATCTTTAAAGACAGGGACTAATCGTTTACCTTTTCTTTTTTATTCTCCATAACCTCTGAGCACTGTTGAAAAGATTTTTAAAATCCTATCAACTGACTTACCAAGGTCCTCTTCACAACACTTGGTGGTCCTAGTACACTGGAGGAAAAGCACCCTGCAGTTTGAGTCCCCTCTCTGCTATTATTATCTGGGCCACCTTTGGCCAGTCACTGAACCTCTTTGGGTCTCGGTTTTCTCACCCATAAAACAGTGATGATAATAATACCTATATGTGGGTAGTATAATATTATTATGAAGATTAAAGTAGAACTGCAAAGCACCTAGAAGAGCCCAAAATGCGACAGACGTGTTCTCTATTATTATTATTTGCTCTTCAACTTCCTCCCTTCCTTTCCGTTGTTGACTAAAGCCTGGATGTTGACCGTCACATCCACACTACTGCTGTCCCTGTCGACGCTGCCCACATGTTCTGCATGTACTAAGTCACCTTCCAAGTGGCCTAACTACTCTGCCATTGCACCCTCACCCCAGTCTTAACTTAAGGCATTAGACGGAAGATTCTTTTGAAAACCTACGAGTTAAACAACTTTCTCTTGCACAGCGAATAAAACTCCAGTTCTTACCACGGCCAGCCCGGCCCTCACTGGCCGATTACCTCTCCGCCTTCACATGGAGCCCCAGCTCTCTGGCAGCACAGCCTTCTCCTCTGGAATTGACCACGTTCTCTTCCTCCCACATGGACTGCTTTCTCACCAATTCCTTGAGCTCCTTCTCAGCATCCAAGTCTCAGTTCAAATGTCATCACCTTAGAAAGACTTTCCAGGCCAACGCATTATAAAGTAGTCTCCCCTAATTGCTACCCCATCACCCTGTGTTATTTTCTTCGTGGTATGCATTGTATCTGGAATCACCACTAGAATGGCACCCCGGAGAGGGCAAGAACTTCTCAGTCTTATTGTCCACATAATACCAAGGCCCTTGAACATCTGGACAGGTGGAAGAAACTGACAGCACAAAACAAACCAAAAATGAAAAGGTTGACAATGAATGTGCTCTGCAGAAACTGTATACCAACTGCAAATCCACACATTTTCATCATGAGAGAATAAACTGTTTGTCAATGTTAAAGATAGTGAAGAATTAACAAAGGAGAGCGAGGAAAGAAGTAGGTTAAAACTTCTGAAGAATGCATCAATTCTGCAGGGAAACCTAAAGTGGAAAGGCACACACATACAGCTCTCTTCAATAATTAAGAGGACTCAGAGGCACAGAAAAAATATAAAGTTTTGGTTCAGTGTGCTAAAAAGGCTTATAAGCATTTTCCAGAGCTGTCTCCACTTTCAGGGCTCCAATAGTTTTGAATATTTTCTATACTCCTTCATCTCCTCCTTTTCTCCTCTCCCCACCCCCACCTCCTCAGTACTGGAAGCCCTGGAGACTGAAATGCAAAGAGGGACATATTGCTTTCCCTGATGAATGGAAGGCTGAAATTCAGCTGTGTTTGAGAAATCCAGTTGCTTGTAACAAATTTTCCTATTGTAATTTAACGTGGGTTTCAATATTCTTCCAGTGCATTAAGCTTTGGTCGTTTTCAGACTGCTCTCTGAGAAGCAGCCAATGCCTGCATTTTCTCCCTTCTTTGAACAATTCTGGGAGGGTAGGGGGAGATTAGATTAAAGATGCTCCCCTGCCCTGGCCGGTTTGGCTCAGCGGTTGGAGTGTCGGCCTGTGGACCAGAGTCCCGGGTTCAGTTCCCACTAGGGGCACGTACCAAAAAAAAATAAAAATAAAGATGCTCCCCTTTCCTTGGACATCATACCAAATGTGGAGACACTGCCTTTTAGTTTAAGGTGGACCTCCTCATTGTGTGCCTGCTGCCTCGGTTCTGAATATGTATATACTGTATATTCTATTTAAAGCTACTGTTGCTCTCTACAGATGAAGGAAATTAGGCTGGTTGGCTTGAGTTTTCTACCTTAGACACAAGAAGGGCCAGAAAAGCGCTAAGCCCTTCTTTTCCTGAAGCGGATTCCACACATCTGCTACCTCACCACTTCCTCAATGAATTCTTTTTTATAGTTGCCCCGACCTACCCTGCATTTGTTCTGCATTCCCACTCCTTTGTTGTATAATTCATACCTTTGCAGCGCCAGTTCCTCGGGGTAAAGATTTCCTTATTTGCCTAAGACGTTTTTTAGTTTATTGTGCAATACCATCTTCCCTGTGGGTGTTGCATAAATATTAACTAAAAATCCACATCTGGTCTTGGTCGTCATTTCTATTTGTCCTAATATAACTTCTCTTTGAACAATTCATTTGGAAAGTGTGCCAAGGGTGAAATGTGGCACATAAATTCTCCTGCTGCACAGAATGCCTTTTAAAATGCCCACAGATTTGGTTATTTATGAACAGAAGATTTGCACCTCTTCCTTGCCCTCTCAGTTCTAAAAGTATACCACGCCAAAGTAATTACAATCTCCCATATGTTTTGTGAAAAGGTATCCAAGAATCTCCCGCTAAAATCTTAACAGATTGACTAGGAAGCAGAAAAACACTAGCCCAGCAGGTGAAACGGCCTGTTTGGGAAGGTCAGAACGGAGCTCTCTGCTGGGGGACTCATAAGCTCTGGGCTTTGTTCAGGAAATAACCCTGCAGGGGAAAAACAGCAGAGCATGGATGAAATGTGGGTCAGGGAGCTGAAAGAGGCACACGGGTGGCTTGGTTAGCTAATGACAGCAAGTGCACTGGCTACACATGTTATACTGAAATGTTTCCCAGCGTTACCATAAAATGCTGCCCTGCAGACACTACAGTATGTAACATCACTTTATCCTAAAACTTGTGATCCATTAGGAATATAATTAGGACAATGTAGCCACGGAAACAGATCCTGTCACTTCTGTCACAAACCTGGGGCTGTTAAGAACCAGCTGCTACCAAAATAATGATCACTTTAAGAATCTCACAGTCTCCCAGCTTCCAATTCAGAAGATGTGGGGGTGGGGGAGGAGAAGAGGAGGAGGCGTGTAGAAATAACATGCTAATAACCAGATATGGATAATTGCAGAGATGTTGAGGCTAATGATAGAATTCAGAAACTCAATCAAAAAATGCCAAGGACACCTCCTTCGTAGAATCTCTCTGAATGTCTTCACATGCTCTGGTATAAACAATGATCAAAAATATTCTAACAGCTTGAAAAGTTGCACAGAATCTTGGGTAACAGAGTTTTAATAAGCCTCAGATTCTAGAATAAAAGATAAATCAACGGATAAACAGAAGGTCCGTTTTGATATGGACATTATTAGTTCAATTAACCAGTTTTTCATGAATGTTGCTTTAAGGTTAACCCACAGGGACCCTTTAAGGCAACACTGTCCAGTGGAACTTTCTTCCGAGCTGGTTTTATGTCTGTGCTCTCCAGTGTGGTGGCCATCGGCTGCATGTGACTACTGAACACAGAAAACATGGCTAGTGTGACTGAGGAACTGAATTTTAATTTTTTATTTTGATTAATTTTAATTTAAATAGGGACATTGGCTAGTAGCTACTATACTGGACTGCACAGCTTAAGCTCTCAGGGCCTCCCGACCCACCCCAGACCCTGTGCCTTAAAGGAGGAGAGTTCGCACGAAAGCCAGCTGCCTACTCCTCACTGGTGGAGGCTTTGGTCCGACCTCTTGATCTGAGCCACGCTGCAGCCCTGTGCAACTTCCTTGTATTTATGAAACAGCTACCCGCTATTGAACACTTTTT